ATTGGAAAAAGAGGCCTAACGATTTAAAATGTCCAACTAGTAAGATTTATTGTACTTACCACTACTATTGCCAAGAATTGCTCCCTCCAATATATGAATAACTTCCCTCTTAAGAAGAGCTTCTCAGTTAAGCGCTGTGTATGTGTAATGCTGAAAGGCAAAAAACATATAAAGATGTGTACGAGTCTATACATTTAGGTTTGCATTACCTGTGGTCTTACTGAACAGATATTTATACTCATGTTATGCTCCTGAGTAGCCATTTTTTCAGTTTCCAGTGGCAGATAGAAACTTACTTGAAATCGTGTCGATTGATAAATTGGTTAATCATATATGAATTTGTATAAGATACACCTGACATGCCCATTTTTTCTCCTTTCATGTGTTTCACTCTTCCTGGTTTAGATGATGGATCATCAACTTACCTTTGCTGGATGAGTGGGAAAAGAGCATTTACACTTCTTAGGCTGCACGAAGAATTGCCTGAAAAAGCCATTGATGGGGCACAGATGATCAGAAAAGACAACAGCCGGAGCACCACAGCTTACCATCTTGAAAAAGTTGTTGGGGCTCACAAGAGAATAGTGATGAAGTGCAATGGATCGCAGATTGACGCACTCTTTCAAGACATCACCATTGCTGTTGCTTCACATCAGCTTCTCACGTATTCAGAGGATAAGTTCCTCAAGTTGTTAATACTAAATGCCAGTAGTGGCCCTATCTGGGTATGTTCGACCTCGTTTACCTTCCTTATCTCCTTAATTTGGTTACATTTTCATTGTCCTGACCATCAAACGATTCTAGCTGCAGAATTAGTTGACAGATCTTATCGGTGTTACTCTCAGGTCTCAAATTGTTTTCCTTTGTGGAAAATAGATGGACAGTTGTATCTTTAGCAGGCTATTTAGTCGACAACGGTACTTTTAGCAGGCTATTTAGTTGGGCGAAAGGGATGGAATCAAATAGACTAATCATATTAACAAGTCGATAAGAGTATTACCAAAGTTGTCTTTCCTACACAATTGAACCCAAAGCAGGCCTTTTCAGTTTAATATTTCCTTAGTTGCACAACTGTGTGTATCTATATTCTATAAATAGCATCGACACACTGTACTCAGCCCTTTCGCTGTTTCCACTTGTGATCTTAAATTTTTAGTAAATCTGAAAGTGATCTTCCTTGTCTTTATTGTTTTTGGTTTAAGCAGGAAATTACCACGAGATCAATGGACATGAAAATGATTCAGCATTTGGAGAGAGAACATTGTGTGGAGATGGAGACTTCAAGATTTGCATTAGCAAACGTTTGGGGTAATGAAGTATGCAAAGTGGATCCATTGGTCCGAGCTTGGAGCTTACTCCATGGCCTGCTAAATAAGTGATCATAAATTATTGGAAAACGTCTCGGATTCTCTTTTCAGTTTGTCCACCACAATGAAAATCAACCTGATTGATGCGACAGCTGACATGTGTTTTGTGTGTAAAATTTATCCACCAGTCAGTGATATTTGGCCTTCTGAGTCCGCACATCGACAAGGAGAACAAATCATTCGAATGAAAATGTTGTGAAATGACACAAATCTTTTACTTTATTGTCGACTCTAATAAGGGTCCGAGGAAATTTTGTTTTTTGTTAAAGGTCTGAAGGTAGGGCATGCGGGAAGATAGTACATGGAAGCCAGTTCACATATATTAATGTCATGAACATCGACAACGACACAAAAAAAAAATCAGAAAATTTAGTTTCAGATATATAATAGGGAGAATTTGCCAAAAATACAACAAAAAAGTTATAATTTAAAAAGTAATCCAAAATCCCAAATCCAATGGTTTACAATTTGCTACATATCCCATTTTTCCTAACTTTTTAAATTTTTTTTTGTTCACCAAAAAACCCAAAAATAGGGTTAATTTATGTAATAACTAAAAATAAATATTATAATTGGCAATTTAACCAAAAATCTTAAAATAAGTAATTATAATTTTGCCACATATGATGTTTTTGTTTAGATTGTTAGTTATAATTTTTTTTTAATGGTTATTAATGTCAATATCCCTTAACCAAAAAGCCCTAAAATGAGTGGTTATGATTTTGCCACATGAAATGTTTTTGG